GCTCTTGGAGTTACGCATTCAAACCCAATGCAATTATATTGTGATAGTCAGACAGTCTTGCATATTGCAGCAAACCCAGTGTTTCATGAGCGTACAAAACATATTGAAGTTGATTGCCATTTTGTACGTGATGAGATTCAAAATGGTTGCATTCGTCCTGCTTATGTGTCGACTACCGTTCAACCGACTGACATTTTTACAAAGGTACTGGGTCGTAGAGAATTCGAGTACTTTCTCCGCAAGTTGGGCATTCACAATCTGCATGCTCCAACTTGAGGGGGGGGGTGTTAGGATTAAGAGTCCATTCGGTATTATTTTATTTGTATATATCTTTTTATCCTTTCCTTATCATGAATAGTCCAGATAGGATAAGAAAGATATATTTGAGTCCTTGTAAACTTAGGAGTTCCAGTTGCCATAAGCTTAGGAGGTTCGGTGGTTGTATTCATGTATATATATACTTAAATTCTCAATGAATAAAATACAGAAAAGCTCTGGTTTCACAAAACCCAGATTCGGAAATTAAATATATTAAGTGTATAATATATATTATATATAATCAAGGATAAATTTGATATTGTATGTCATTATATATAATGGGTTGAAAATAAATTTATATGATTTGAATTTTATGAATCTTTAGTAAAATGAAAATCTCAAACCAACTTTACTGATGAATGCATATTAGTTCTGGGGTAAACACCATCTATAATATTGGGGGTGTTTCACTTAACTCATTTAAGCTTTATTTTGTGTTAGATTTTTCTTAGAACTATCTCAAGTTAAGACTCAGTTTGGGAAGAGTGTAAATATAAAATATGTACAATATAAATACAAGATTTAAAAATACCGTGTACAAAGTTTTGTATTGAACATACTTGTATTTACACTCCTCCCAAATGGAGTCTAACCAAATAAACATCTCTATTAGCATTCCAGCAGGAAAATGGATGGAAAATTCTATATTTTCAAAATGTCTAAAATACCCTTTTGAATGATTTTGCTTTTATTTTCTAAATTTCATATTTAAGATGAAAAAGGGCATTTTTTTCATCGAACAGGACAAATAAATAATCTTGCCAAATTTGTTTTGGCAACAAGCAGCACAAAATGCAGAAGGCAAGGGAAAATTGGTCAAAAGGGTAATTTTAGCATGTATATAATGACAAATACATCAAGTAATGTGTACAAGGTCATTTTCCATCCAATTTTCTGATTGAATGATAACAAAGGTGTCTATTTGTTTAACTTATCACAGTTCAGGGGGGAGTCTATCAAAAAAATGAACTTTAACTAAGTAGTTAAATGAAACAGAGTCAATAATATAGGGGCTATATGGATTTTTTTCTTAATTTTATGTACACATATATTTAAACAAAAAATTATTTAAAACCTGCCTACTTTAGTGAAAATGCCTAAAAAAAACTCCCTGTCATAAAGTTTGAATCGCAGAAAAACACACATTTATCCTTCTGCCTATATTTGCCCAAAAACAAAGATTTATGCTGATTGGGATTGATTGAATCATACATGTAGGGAGGGTACATAATAGATAATGGGTAGAGTAATAATTTTACAACGTTTTATTCGGGTTTGAAGGGATATGTATAATGGAGGATCTTTGGAGGTATAAGTTGGATAAAATCATACATGATGCATAGGATCCCATCAAAATTCCAAGTAAGGTGTGCTTAGATGAAATTAGTATTATGATAGGTGACCTTGTCATACTGTACCACTACTCCATTTTAGTAATACAAGTATGGATAAGTTTAAGACTATTAATAAAGTTAATAGGGATTTTAGATAATTTTTGCATTTAAAATATTACTGAATTAATTTTGATGCAGCTGGTTTGAATTGGGGTGGAGTGGATTCATATGGATTATCCATATGTATGAAGGAATTATAGAAATGAAACAAATCAGTAACATATGGATTATCCATATGTACGAAGGAGTTATAGAAATGAAACAAATCAGTTCCTTTTACCATTCAATCTAAAAGGTAAAAGGTAAGCTGTTAAGTGAGATGCTTAAATGGGCTTTTATTCTTTGACATGCCCCTTCATGCTAAAGCCTATTGGGCTTTTAAGTGTGGGTACCCATAGACATATTCATACATTGTATTGAAATTTAATTAATTATAATGGGACAACCGGGTTTAAATACTCACTTGCTCAAACAAGTTCTATTACTAGTTTCAATGAGCCAGTCAATCTAAAAGTTATCAGGTGAGATCCTTGAATAGGCCAGTTTTCACTATATACGACAATAAGGGCATGAAATGAAAATAATTTCATTCATGGTTTTTAAAAATAAATCGGTGATCAAATCGGTCAGGGGTCTGGTTACCGGTTCGAACAGTCTGATCATTCGATCCGAACGACTGGCCCATTTTGACAAAAAAATAAAAAAATTAAAAAATTGAAAAACGGTCAAAACCGTTCGAATGATTAATTGCCCGATTCAATGGTTTGCTGATCAAAATCAACGGTTTTGAAGGAAAAAGCGGTTTTGGAGGAAAATGGAACTAATCAGGTGACCGGTTCCCGATTTTTCCGGTCCAACCATCCGGTCCATTTTGGTCATAAATATATAAAACATGACAAACTCAATTATCTCCAATTAACTTGGCATCTTTCTATAATCAGGTGCTCAATCTTCAACACCCTGGGGAAATCGATTAAGTTCAAAAGTGCTTGAAAATTTTCTATGGTGACTAGTTTTGTCAACGCGTTAGTTGCATTGTCTTTGGCATGGATTTTCTCCATGGTTTTTTTTTTTTT